ATGTTTGACCACTTTCAAGCACCCCATCAAAAGTTGCATTCTTCTGAATAAATCCCTCACTTCCGAGCTTCTTTTCAATTATTTGAAGGCTTTCATCTGCTATTTCAACAAGCGTTTCTGAACATCTGCCTGAACATTCCACAAATTCTTCCCTTGCAATAATTCTTCTCTTAAAAACGTTATAATCTATCATGGGATTTGGTTGTACTGTGAGGTGACGTTCTTCATTTGCATCTGTGCTTGGCAATCTGGTTATGGCTAGGCACTGTTTTGGCTCCAATGACACACAAATTGGCAGTTTTGTGTAATCTTTTTCTTCTTTTTTCAGCTCTTTGTAAAATTCTAGGCTTGTCTCGTTGCCTATCTTTATCGGTTTGTACCCTTGCTTAAGCTGATACTTTAACACCACTCTTGAATCTGATGGAACATATTCTACAACTTTTTCCACAGCTTGTAGTAAATCTTCATAACTTTCATTCTCTTTATGGAAGAGTCCACAAACTTCATATCCTTCATAAGTTATTTCATTGATCCATTGTCCATTATATTGAACAATAAAAAGATCCCTGCTCATTTTCCCTGCATAAATTTTTAACAATTAAAATATCACAATTGATCAAAATACTTATGAAATCTATGACAGTAGTTTATAAATTTCACTTTTCTGTAAAATTACCCTCTTTTGTTTTTTTTTTTCCCCCAATAAAACAGAATTTTTAAAGTTAAGAACTTATTGAACATCTCTGTAAATGCAACTAATAAATTTCATCACCTAATATATAAGAACAATTTAATTCATATACATCTAATGTTTTTTTTTCAAATCACCTGTTATCTTTTTGAATCTGATCTTCGACTGCTCCAATATTCAAAGCTGAATATGATCTTCAGTTCTCGAATTTTCCCAACTTTATTAAGCCGATTATTTTTTATTCAATTCTCTTTTTTTTTCGATTATTTCTATCAAAAAATTTTGCGAAGAATCTGATGCATATGTTTGATGATTTTTTCTCTTCAATGATTTTGTCTTTTTTTAATCGTCTTCGTTTTTCTTTGAATAACTGTCATTCGGTTTTTTTTTTTTTTTTTCAAATTCAAATTAAACCGTTTCATTTTTTTGGTACAAAACCATTCAGTTTTTTTAATTTAATTTTTTCATTTTATTTATTTATTTTTTATGGAATGGGGTGTTTTTGTCTATTATTTGGAGTATAATGGTAACTGTATATACATAGGAGTTGTTTTGCAAATTATGTATTAAAATTGGGCAGTTATAAATTTTTCCCTTGTTTTGAGCTATGGCTTATGACTATGAGGCATAAAGGCTTTGAGCAATGGGCCCGAATGGAGTGTGCCTAAGAAATTAACAAATTATTTGGATTGGATTGGGCTTATAATGAACATATCATTTAGTTTAATTTATTTATTTAATAATAAGTAATATATAAAGTTTGAGTCCGCTTTGGTAATACCAAACCATATATATTTCACCATCGGAACCAAAGTGGTTTTTTGGGTAAAAAAATAAAAATAAAAATAAAACGATAATAAGGTTTTTAATTATCTGTAAAAAAAAAAAAAAAGGTACAACAACATGAAGTGTGGTAAAATCTTGCTGGAGTTACGATCCAGTCGAATAATCCTCTCTATATATAATTTCAAAATGCGCTGAGCTTACGTGGCTTCTTCTGGTGCTTCGTAATCCTACTTGGCGAAGAATCATGCTTCGTAATTAGGTTTGGACAAATAATATTAATATATTAATAAATATTAATTTAGGTTTGGACATTCTATAAATATTATTTAGCTAACTTAGTATTTTAATATCAGTACTAATATAACCCTTTAATTCTTTGTATTTTACATAGTGAGACACTAAGTGATTAATGTATCCATACTTTTGATTTGTTTCATTCAATTAGCTATTGAATTGTAAATGTACTTTAAAAATTGATAACTTTTATATTTCTTATCGGTTTTACATATATAATTTATCAAATTAATCATCTTTTGATGATCTTCGATTTGACATTCATATTGTATATATGAAATAAATAAATTATATTTATCTTTATAATAATAAAAAATAATAATATTTATTAAAATTCATTAGAAAAATAAAATTATTTCTCAATTGATATATTTATGTTTAATATAGTTATTTGTTGTAAGTTAAAAAAATTATTACAGTATAATACATATAAGTCGCACAAATAAAAAGTGTCATACTAACTATATAATAATATATATATTTTTATAAAAGGTGTTTAGATTTTCAACTATTTTTCTCATTAATTTTATATTTAAAAAAAAAAAAATAGCACACACCCGTGTAATACACGGGCGTTGTACTAGTAAGGTTTTTAATTTTCGGTAAAAATTAGCATTCTGATTTGTAACTATATATAATAATTCTTTTTAAGCAAATTATAATTTTAGTTTACGATAAAATCTCAATTTGTTCATTATTATCAGAAAAGATATACATAAATGTATAATTTAAAATGATTTAACGAAGAATATATATTCAACAAATCATGGTTTGTTATTTTTTATTTTTATTACAACGACAATTTATTTTGAAAAAAGAGTGATCAGTGTGTCATAAAAAATTGAAATTGTGCACATTCTCTTTGTTTAAGATCCTTTTAAAAAAAAAAATTAAAAAAAAAAAAATCTTACATTTATTAGTTGGACTTTTTCCAAAAGTACTTTAATAGCTTGATTGGAAGACAAAAAATCAAATGCATCATTCGGATACAAAAGTTAAGTTAAAATAGTTAACTTTATTTAGTGCTAAATTAAAAATGAATTTATGAATCACCTGTACGTATTTCCAATAATTTCATCATATACAATTAGTATAAGAAATTTCCAATATTGCAAAAGCTCATAACATAACGGATCTCTACAAAAGCGCTCACAAACAAATAAATACATATCACCCCTATATATAATTCCCGAATGCGCTGAGCCTACGTGACTGCTTCTGGTGCTTCGGAATCCTACATGGCGAATAATCATTTTTTTCTTAACAAGCACCCGTGTAATACACGGGCGTTGTACTAGTATACGTTAATTGCTTCTTTTTTTTTAGCCAACCACGATATCCGGAGCTATGCTCAACTATTCCGTTAGTCGACCCAAGTCGCACACCTGACACTGATGGGATGAGTCTCCCAAAAAGAGTTTTCTGCATCTATAAATACTCGAACTCAAGACCTTGCTTAAACGACATCAAACTACTTATTACTTGAGCCAACGTTGTTAGTACTTTAATTGCTTCTTTATAATGAACTTATCAATAAACAATTTTATTCATAAATTTATATTTAATTTATCATCAAATATGAATTAATTATTTAAATAAATTTTTTTCCATGAAAAAACTATTTAAGAATGATTTTATCACATAGTATGAAAGTCAAGGTGATCCATATATATATTTATGTCATCTCATCTTATCTTCACACGCTTTTGTCTTCAACGGACATACATAACATGCAATATATCCTAAACCTAAACCTAAATCTGCCTGTGGATTTCAATAATCAATTCAATTTTTTTATTTTTCCCTTCTTTTTTATCACCCTCGTTTTCTTTCTTTTGCATATTTACAAGTAGAAGTCAATATCCATTATTAAAAAAAAAATACTAAATAAAACTGTAATTTTTTATTAGATTTTTAGGCATTTCTTAAATTCTAGATGGATGAATAAATGTTGAAATAAAACGAATGAAAATTATAAATATTCAGAAATCATTAATGTCAAACAATTAAAAATATGGAAGTGTACTTGAGATTTTTTTTTTTTTTTTTGTTCACTTATCTTGTTTTTCAATTATTTGGTATAATTATGACTCGTTCGAGTTCATGACTTGAGAAATTTTGATATTTCAAACGATGAAATCAACAGTGGATATATTTATTTGATTGCTTTTCGGTTGTGTGTGAAGTGTTCGTTTGGCTGTCATACCATACTTTTTTTTAGGAGTTTTTTTCAATAAGGTCCGAAAGATATGTAAACTATTAAATCGGGGCTTAAAAGATTTTTTTCTCAATTCGGGACCTAAATGTTATAAAACTATCAAATTAAATTTTAGAATTAACAAAACATATAACACCATTAAATGAATAGTTAATTTAAAGTTTTAAAACACCAAATTTGTTACAAAATAAAAAAAATGAAGAAAATTAAAGAAAATACGAGATTATTGGAGAAAATTAAGAAAAGCATGAAGTTCTTACTTGGTTTTTTTGCTATTGTCTATTTCTGTTTTTTTTTTAAAAAAATATTATACAAATGTTTATTTATTATTTTAGGTGAGTAAGCACCAATTTTTTTTTTTTTAAAACTCAATAATTTAATGGTGTTATGAGTTTTGTTAATTATAGGACTTAATTTGATAACTTATAACATTTAAGTCCCGAATTGAAAAAAAAAAAATTTCAGGCCCCGATTTGATAGTTTATCCACCTTTCAATTTGGTCCCTCTACAATTAACATTCGTTTTCTTGATTTTCAGCTTGGTACAACTAACATGAGTTTTCTTGATTTTCAGCTTCGTACTTCAAAAAAAAAAAAAAAAAA